GCTGAGCTTGTCCCTACATAGTACCAGTGTTTGGACCGACGGATTGTCTTGTTTCTTCTTTTAAACAAAATTTCTGTTGCAGAAAATGCTACAGCACAAAGAAACCAAAGAAACCAAAGCAAAGTATTCTGGCTGGAGCAAGTAAACGGTTACAACTGTACCAGCAAATACTTCCTGAAGGTAAAGGTCTCTCTGGTCTTCAGTGTGCTTAGCAAGAAGGTACTGGAAGGGCCGTGTGCTTCAGTAATACAAGTAGTGAAAGATAGACAGAAAAGAAACACATACAAAATTAATGTTAAAAAAAACCAAAAACACTTAGTAGCCACTGGCAAGCAAATATCAGAATTCTTAATATTTACCTTTATTACACACTTAGCCAGTATTTTAAGTTAATTTTTCAACTGTCTCAACATTAGTTTGCAGCAGCTGAACCTTACATGTGAGAAAGCTGTATGATCAGATGACAATTCCTGTTGATTTTAACTCAAGTTGATTTGATAGGTTTCTCATTTCACTAAGTTCACAGAGTCTATATATTTAATAACATTTTTCTGGTGCAGCTGTAGCAAGAAATCAGCCAGGAAATCAATGCCTGTCAGGACACAAAAAAATTTACAATCTCTGATAGCATACACTAGCCTGTATATCTACCACAGCAGAGTATTTCTCCATCTCTGGCAAAGCAATACTTTATTAAAAAAAAAAATTAAAAGTCCTCAATGTACTAGCATTTTAAATAGTTTAGTAGGTTTTGGTTGGTTGGGGTTTTTTTTATATACAAGCCACAGGAATTTTAAAAAGTGATTAAACACCAAAAATTGGCAAAGAAGCCGTGAAAAAATTAATACCCGATTTGCTTGCTAGAAAGAGCCTCATTTACAAGCATCTCTCAAAGAATGTAAAAGATGCATCACAGTGTTGGATCTTGTTTATCAAACTAAAAATTAAGATATCTGTTTTACATGGCCTGCATATCATAAAAACCTCACCCTCTTAAAGAAGTTATCTTCCTACTTATCTAAATCTTACCGTACTCTTTTGAAGTAAGAATGGAAGAAGTAAAATTAAATGGAAATAAAAGATTTTTCCAATGGGATTCCCTGATAAACAGAAACTTTGTGGCACTTGTCACTATTAGACATAGATCACAATAAAAAGGAATCCATTACAAGACCAGGAAAGGAGTCAAGGCACAAAGTCTCGTTACCCTTTTGAGCAATACAGCATCAGAACAACTGGAATTCATGCATCAACTTTCAAGCTGGGTTTGTTCCAACTTCACAGCATTGGTCCTTCCTATCCTACTGTGTTTATATATGGGGTTGTAGGGGGGTTGATTTTTTTCCAATGGGCAGAGCTGGAGAGGGAGAAAATTTTACAACTTCTTTACTGCAAGATGTAACACACAAGAGTCTTCAAGATACACAAAAGGAAAGGAAAACATTTTCCTGCACTCATTCAGAGTTAAGGCTGAATTAAAGGCAACTTAGAAATGAGCAAGCAGA